CCATAGCATGCCAGGCTCCTGTCTATAGGATTGATTCTCCAGGCAAGAATACTGGAATGGGTTGCCATTTCCTCCTCTAGGGAATCTTCCCTACCCAGGGATCAAACCCATGTCTCCTGCATTGGCAAGTGGGTTCCTTACCACTAGTGCCACCTGGGAAGTCCCATGCCTTTTGGTATTGTATCTGAAAAGTCAGCACCAAACCCAGGGTCGCTTAGTTTATTTATTGCTTGCTTTTACTAGATTTTCATGTCATTATATTTATTTTGGTGTAGATGAAAAATGTTTTATGCTTTACCACTAGGGATTATTAGCTTTGTGGTTAACATTTTACTTTTGATAGTAATTAGGTGTTTGTAGTGGCAAATTTTAAATGTCAGTTTTTTTTTCCCCCTGTAGGATACGTTTAATTCACTTTAAATCTGCAAATTCATAGAATTTTAGGCCAAGAAATGACATGAGTGTCTAGTTCATTTTGTAAATTAGTACAGAGTGGATGAAAACTATAACATTTGTATGAGGCCAAATAGCAAGATAGTGATAAAAACAGGACGCTAATTGTTTGGTTTATTATGGCAAATCAGATACTCAGAATGTTGAGAAGTGATCTCTCTCAATTCTCTTAAGTTAGTTATGATAATTTGTAGGATATTTCTTTTCAGGCTGTTTAAATTCAAGTGCTATCACTAAAGTCAGCAGATACTTAAAAAAAAAAAAACAACTAAAAACTTTAGATGTTGGTTGGGAGAAGGCAATGGCAACCCACTCCAGTTCTCTTGCCTGGAAAATCTCATGGACAGAGGAACCTGGTGGGCTGCAGTCCATGGGGTCGCTAAGAGCCGGACATGACTGAGCGACTTCACTTTCACTTTTCACTTTCATGCATTGGAGAAGGAAATGGCAACCCACTCCAGTATTCTTGCCTGGAGAATCCCAGGGATGGGGGAGCCCACTGGGCTGCTGTCTGTGGGGTTGCACAGAGTCAGACACGACTGAAGCGACTTAACAGCAGCAGATGTTGGTTAGTTTTTTTTTTTCCCAGAAATATTTACCAGCTCCTGTCACATTTACATAACATTGCTTGTTTAATTTTTGTCCACATAGTTTCACACAATCTTTGTGAGTTCTTCCCTCCCATTTAACTTCAAGTTAATATACTTTTACATAGTTTTAAAACTTTTAAATGACTCCCTAATTGCATTAATAAAATAGAATTAAACTCTTACCCTGTTGGACATTGGTCTCTACTTTTTAAAACAAAAGAGAAATGCTGCAGTATCATCTGCATTTTAAATTTGTAATAGCTGTGGAAAATGTGATATTCTTCTCTCAGTGTTCCCCCCATTACCTTTTACTTCTGGGAGAAAAACTCCCAAAGTAACACAGCATAATACGTAACTGTGTATTTTTGAATCAACACCATTTAAAATTTCTGGGGAAATATTTTAAAATTTAAAGTGATGTTGATTCGAAAATACATACAGTTTTCATTTTAAATATTCAGAGATAAAACACAAAGTGATTGTGATTTCTATTAGGATATTTGAGTATTGGGTAGTTAAGTATAAAATTCAAAAGAAAAAAGCATGTGCAGTTAAAAATGGCCTCCGTCTCATCTTTTGTCTCTTAAACAGTTAGGTTTCTGAGTTAACTTCTAGAATCAACCAGTTTTTAGGGGGCTGAAAAAACAACTAGTTGGTGTTTTCCTTTAGTTTTGCTTTTTTCGGAATGCTATGTAAATAGGATCAGGTAACTTCTTCAGCATGACTTCTTTCACGTAGCATAATGTGTTTGAAATTCATACATATGTTGCTTATATGAGTAGTTTATTCCTTTTATTGCTGAATATTTGTCCATGTGTGGGTGTACTATAGTTTTTAAATTCCTTTCCCAGTTGAGGGACATTTGAGTAATTTCCAAACATTAACAGGCAGGTTTTGCTTGAACATAAGTTTTTCGTTTTACTTGTGTGAATACCTAGTGACAGTATTGATGGGTTATTTGGATAAGTGTGTGTAAAGAAACTGCCAGACTATTTTCTTAAGTGGCTGTACAATTTTACATTCCTACCAACAAACTTTTGCCTACTTTAGAACTAGGTTTTCTTAATATTGTGTTTTGTGACTTCTTTATATATTTTGGATACAAATCTTTTGAGATTTGTGAATATTTTCTCTCAATTTTTCAATTTTTTCTTTTGTAAGTTGTGCTTTTAGGGTTGTATCTTAAATCCTTGTCTCACCCAAGGTCTAATTTTAGGTCTGTGATACTTTTTTTGAGTTATATTTTTATTATGGTGTACAGTGTGGATTGAGACTTTTTTGCATATGAGTACCTAGTTCTAGCGCCATATATTGAAAATACTTATTTCTCTAGTTGTTTTTGAACCTTTGTTGAAGGTCAGTTAATCGGTTGTCCTAAGTTAAAGGTTTAGCTGCTTTAAAAAATAGTAGCCAACTATTGAAATTATTCTTTTATAATTAAATTATATCAAGCTATAGAGTAAAAGGACCCACTCAATGAACATGAGTTTGAGTAAACTCCGGGAGTTTGTGATGGACAGGGAGGCCTGGCGTGCTGCAGTCTATGGGGTCGCAAAGAGTCAGACACATCTGAGTGACTGAACTGACTGACTGACAGAGTAAAAGAGTATTATGAAATTTGGCCGGACATTGGTGTCCTATGGGCTTCCCTTGTAGCTCAGCTGGTAAAGAATCCGCCTGCAATGTGGGAGACTGTGTTCGATCCCTGGGTTGGGAAGATACCCTGGAGGAGGGAAAACTACACACTCCAGTATTCTGGCCTGGAGAATTGCATGGACTTTATAGTCCATGGGGACGCAAAGAGTTGAACACAACTGAGCGACTGTCACTTTCACTTTGGTGTCCTATACTGTGAGATTTGGGTTAATCTAGTTTATCCGAATATTTATTATTTAGTAATTTAGATGTAGTTTGCAGTTAACAACTTTTAAGTAACTGTTAAACTTAAAAAATAAATTTATTTATTTGTTTATTTTTGCCTGTGCTGAGTCTTTGTTCGTGCGCAGTTTTTTCTAGTTGCTGTGTGTGGGCTTTAGTAGTTGTGGTGCTTGGGCTCAGTAGTTGTGGTTCCTAGGCTTACTTGCTCTGCAGCATGTGAGGTCTTCCCAGATCAGGGATCAGACCTGTGTCTTCTGCATTGGCAGGTGGATTCCTTACCAGTGAACCACCAAGGAAACCCCAACTATTAAACTTTTAAATGCTAGAGTAGAAGTTAAATGCCAAGAGGCAGGTGTTACTTTAAAGAGACCATTGGACGAAATATTGGAAATTAAGACAGACTGAAGATTAATGGCTATTTTTTTTTACATTATTTGTTGATGGTGGTTTTTTCTTCTTTTTTTGATGGTTGTTTTTTCATCATTCTGGGAAGGGAGAGTGGTAGTGTTCGTTGCTTAGTCGTGGCCTACTCTTTGTGACCCCATGGACTGTATGTAGCCTACCAGGCTCCTTCGTCCATGGGATTCTCCAGTCAAGAATAGTGGAGTGGGTTGCCATTCCCTTCTCAAGGGGATCTTTCCAACCCAGGAGTCGAAAGCAGGTCTCCTGCATCGCAGGCGGATCCTTTTACCATCTGAGCCCCATTGCTCTTAAATCCTGTTCCATTTTTAAGATTAGCTTTTATCTTTGGAGACCCCGCTCCTATCCTATTACTCCTTTCTTCTTTTGGATAGACTCTGCCATACAGTTTTCTTATCTTTAACCTGGTAAAAACAAATAACATAACATTTTTCATTTTAATTAAAGCGCATAGTCCAGTGGCGTTAAATACATGGCCAGTGTTACACAGCCATTATCACCACTGTCTAGGTCAGAACTTTTCGTCACCACGAGACCCATTCTAGTCCTTAAGGACTTCACAGTCTGGGGAGGAAACAGGCGGCCTGATGTTTACCATGTGGCGTGGCCGGTTACACGTCAGAGCTTGCTGTAATTAAGCTGTATTCGTTCAGCTAAAATTTTACTTTGAAAGAGCAAAGGAATTTTTGGTTAGGTTAACATCCAGGTTGTCCTACCACTCCATACCTGAATTAAATTTAGGCTAGACTGAAATCTTTAGTTTTTTTGGCTTAAAGAAATTCAGGACGCACAAATCCTTGTGCCCTCTACTTTGTAAGATCATTTGAGGAATAGCTCTATTTGGGATGGTAAAAGAATTTGCCTGCAGTGCAGGAGACCCAGTTACTTTGTAACAAGAAGGAAACTGAAAAATTGATACTCTGATTTAAAGCTAAATTATGAACTCTTCCTTTTCTCATGGAGCAGAAAAAAACAGAATTAGAACTTTCTAGTTATCTGTTTCTATCCTCAATTGAGCTGTTTTGACTTAATCTAGTTGTAGTGACAGCTTCCTTGATTATGGTCAAATATGGCATTATACAGGCATGCTTGTGTCTATTGGCAGATCATTTGAGGAATAGCTGTATTTAGGATACTGTGTCAAGAGATTGTGTTTCTGAACTCCTTGAAGCTTTGGAGTTGGAAATTGATGATTTAAAGTTGAATATTTTAGCAGTGTTAGTGAAAGACAGTGTTAGCGACATTGAACAGTGTTGTAATACAGATTTTATTTGCATTCTGCTGTCAGGGTTTGTTTGCTGTAGCACAAGATTGTTTTGGAAAAATAAAACACAATACAGCCCTTTGTTTTTAAGATTCTTCTGTCTTCCTAATATAGTCAGTCTCAGAAAGAGTTGCTTTGCCAAATGATGGTTAATGTTTTAGTTAGCAATTTCAGTGTTTATCATAGGAAAACAAGTTCATATTACTAGATCTAGACTTCTAATAAATTGTGTTTACAGATTTAAGAAAGCCTGAATTTGTGACAGTTTTTGTTTTTTATTCAAAAAGAAGGAAAAATTAAAAACAACCCCCTAGTTTGATTAGTTTTACTAATAATTCTGGCATTTGCTTTCAGGAAAAATAACTGTAGTCTTGTTTTTTCAGGGTAATCACTTTGATCAATATGAAGAAGGACATTTGGAAATTGAACAAGCATCCCTTGACAAGCCTATAGAATCGGTAAGATCAGTGCTTAATTTGGGGTCATAGATAGATAGATAGGTAGTGTTCGTGTGACACTTGATGTGAATGAAGTTAAACTTATTAATTAACTTACAGTACAGTTTAGAGCTGTTTTCTTGCATGCCCTACAGTAATCAAGTAGAGTTTGAGTTGTAATCTAATATTCAATATGTTAGGAAATCAGTGAAAAAAATCTAGAAACATTTTTGAATTTGATGGAAAAATATCATTTTTGGCCCATACTGATATTTTGTTAAAGATAACAAGTTTAAGTTTAGTTGAAGTTTCTGTATAAATTGAATAAAGGAGTAAAATGTATTTTGATCCTTTAAAAAACCTTCACCTTTCCTGGCAACACAATCATGTGCGAAATGTTCCATTAGGAACAGTTAGGGGCTAATGTTTTTATTTACCAGACTCTTGTGAGACATGGTAACTTCGATCTCTATGGTTTAAGAGATGTCTGGTTTTTGTCAAAAGTTGATTGTATCTATTCACATGACTTAATTTTAAATATTGATACAACACAACAGAACAAAGAGATTTGTTTTCCTGACTCTCAATTTTTTGAACATTATTTTTATTTTGAAAAGCCCTTTATTTTCAGATTACACAGTCCATTGTTAAAATGTCTAAATTTGTCAGTATTGTCAGTATTTAATATTTGTTCCTAAGTGTATGTATGGAGTCATCGGAGAGAGAGTCTCTATAACAGTCAAAAGACGTTCCCCTTCTCCCTTTAAGAAATACTAGCTGCTTCTCCTCCCTCAGGAAAATAAGGCAATTTAGAGAATACAGATATTTTAACTTATAGCTTTTATTTTTATAGCTGTAGCATAGTAAAGGATCAACATATATTTATGTTCCTAACTAGGTTGGTGTTGTGTGTGTTTGTGTGTGTGTTTAGATGTTTACAGAAATTTACACAACTTGGGGTGTTCGACATTTTTCTTCCACAGCAGTTGGCCCATATTAGCTAAGCAGCCATGATCTGGTTTGTATTGCACGGTCTGCCTTTTTTTAATTTCTTCTCTAGGGTTTCTTTCTCCCCCACCTCCCCTTCTTATTTCTGTTCTTCTGGTCCAGTGAACACTGCATATAGTACCTTCTGTCTTAATGTGCTGGCATGATGCTAGACTTAGGCATGGCAGTAATTGATGACGCATGTGATAATGCTGCAGAGGGAGAATTCACATCTGATGTTGTGCTGAAAGCCCAGTCTTGTGTTTTGACTTAAGGATGAAATGCCAGGCCCACTTTGATGAGTTAAAAAATCTTTGAAGTTTTTGTCTTATTTTACATCGTCTTGGGAATTATCACAAGGTGGAATTTTACAGTGAAATCTATGGGCTAGCTAGGTCAGTATTTTATACTTGAAAAAGAACTTTTCCATATCATTTAAATGTTTCTTTGGGTCAGAGTTTAAGAATAGATAGCTGTCAGCAGAAAGACCCAGGTGGCATATTCTACAAGGTACAAGGTTGATTAATATTATACAAGCTATAATTCAGTGGGTACTCTGACTCAACAGTAGCAGGAAATTTAGCTGAACTAAATTTGCGGCCTAGTATTCATTATGACTATACTCAAGAAAGTTTTAATAAAAGCACGAAATTAAATGATATTTAACATTTTAAAAGCCTTCTTTTAGGACTGCATTTAAAGGTTTTTGGAAAGTTTGTTCCTTTGGCATGTGGGACTAGTGCTCTTTTTCCTCTCACAATGTCCAGGAATTTTCCCAGCATATATCATAGAGAGAACACTGTCAGAAGGCAGTCTGACTGAGTAATCTCAGCGAGTAGGAGTGGAATTGATATATGCCTTACTTATTAAATAGTATTATCTTCTCCACTAAAAACAGCAAGTGTCCTCGGACTGGATATTTAATTTTTTATGAATAAGTATATATTCAGAGATGTATAGTAGTAAATTGTACTTCTAGTGAACATTTACTCCTGAAACACATTAAAATATGCATTATTTGTGATGTGGTAGTTTAGGTAGTAATAGTAAGGTGCTTCATAGCCAACGTGGTGTTAGAAGTGGGGCGAAAAGAGAGGGGTTTTATTTCTGTTCCCCAGTCATTTGGGGGTAAATTTAAAGTTTTAAAAGAAACTAAATGCCTAAAATGATTGGCATAAAAATAGTGTAGTAACTTCCAAGAGCCCTATCACCTTGGGAATGCCCACCAAGTAAGTGTATATTAGTTACACGGCTGGCTGGCTATCTTGTTGAGCTATTGAGCTATCTTGTTCTTAGGGGGAAATAGCAGTTGCTTCTAACACACAGAAAGAGTCTCTGCTGAATTAAAATCTTTCTCTGCAGCAATATCTATTGAGAGGTGCTGACTGTTTTGCTACAGCATGCAACTCAAAAGTGGCTGGAAATATGCAGCTTTGGGAGTCTACAGATCATTGCAGGAGCTAAAGGTCTAGTCATTTTTTTTTTTTAAACAAAGGTAATCTGCAGCAGCTGGTAACCGAGGAAGTCTCTGCACAGGTTTGTGCCAAGAATATGCCCATGTGAAGGGTTATTGTGAGTATAGGATTAAGGGCTTTTTGTTTTGTAACAGGGTTAATGTGTTGCAAACTAGCAAGATGGGAAATGAGATACAAAGATGTGATAATACATTATGATTTTGATAAACTTGCGAAGCTTAGATTTGTTCTTGAGATGATACAGGTACTTCAGTTTCAATCTGGAAATGTTGAAAATACATCAAAATCCAGCATTAATGAAATAGTTGGTTATCTTTGGTATAAATTTTTATTTTCCCTGGTTTATTTCAACCAACCAGATATCTTTCAGTGAAGTTTCTGGTCGACAATAAAAAACTGTTCCAAGAAAATTATTAAAGAATTGCCAGATAACTTGTTATCTGAATTAAAGAGAAGGTGGAAAGTATAAACATTTTGCTCTTATTACAAAAAACTTTTTAAAATTTATGTTTTAATGTAGCTGCTTTATGAGATTTTTAGGTCCCAGCTATAATTATGATCTCCACTTTATACCGAAAAATAAAGCATTTAAAAAACAAAAATCTTAAAACCATGACCCAGTCTAGAATTCCACCATAGATCCAAAAATTGGTTGATCTGACTTAAGGTATATGGTTCTTTGTGATCTTTACCATAGAAAGAAGATGAGAAATCAGATGGGAGAGTGATTATAAGCTATACAAAGGCAAAATCCCTGCACCATAGACTTAAAATATGTTGTCATTGTTGCAGTTGGAAGTGAAACTGCCCGTCAGCCAGTACTTGGTCTTTGTTCTACCTGACTGATTAAAATTCTGTCTTTATAGTTGTCAGGTTGACTGAGCAGGTTTAAAAAATTAATGTAAGTTTTCAAATTCCAGTTGCTGATGTTTACTTTGCATATCTAAGGATTTAGAAGTATATGTATAAGTGGGTTTTGTTATGTTGCATATCTGTTTAGATCTGTGGACTCCACTAGTTCCAAACTGTAATTCTATAAGACTGCTGATTTGATATTTAGCAGTGACCATATGTGGACTGCACTATAAATAATGTGCTTCTTGGAGCTGAATGGTGTAGCATTACTATATGGCTTTTCTCTCTAGTCTTCATTGTGTCATCTGTAGTGAGCTATAGATTTTTTTGTTTGGGGAATTTTTACAACTTGTTGTTTGCATGGGTTCACCTAGTAGCACTTGGTTTTTGCTTATAGAGTCTTTAATACACAATCAGCAAAGCTTACAATCCACTCAAGAGATTTGCCATTTTTGTCACTGTTGAAAATGAGCTAAATGGTGTAAATTGAATGTGGCTGTCGACTAAAAGAAAATTCAGTGTGGAATTAGTATTCATCTAGTCACTGCCATAATTGTAGTATAGTTTTCTCTTGAGACTTGGTATTCTGTTTCCTACTATTAAAAAACTTAGAATCAACCCCACACAATGAAGTGAATTTTAGTCTATATTTTGGCAGACTCCCATTATACAGATTGGTGGGGCTGTTTCCCAAATTGTTATTGTTTCTTTGACGGTATACAGTTTCAGGGAACAGAGGGAAGTTCCTAGGAAAGTTTTCTACTTGGTATTTAATTAAATTGTTGAGGAATGGCTGAAACAATAATGAGATGGTTTTTTGTTTTTGTGTTTTGGCTGGTATTGTGTTTTTAGCATATTGGTAGTTTCTAATACACATTTCTTGCTATTACTGATGTTCCCATTTAAAAATTATATCCTCCTTTCTTGCACATTTAGTACAGAAGATTAAAATATAGCACTTTAATTTACATTTAAGTTTAGAAATAGAAAAACCATAAAGGCCAATTTAGGTAATCTAGATGAAAAAAGTTTTGAGTTTTTAGCTCAGCTTCATAGTTTAACCAGAATTAAGAAGAACTTCATTCCTAACCAAATAAAATGCCAGACTGCCACCATTTTTGAATGTTAAGGACAGAGAGTAATAATAGGTCATGGGAAGAATTCCCTGGCAGTCCAGTGGTTAGGACTGCACTTTAACTGCCAAGAACTCAGGTTCAATCCCTCATCAGGGTACTGACACCCCACAGGCCGTGTGGCTCGGCCAAACAACAACAACAAATGGGTTGTGGGAACTCTATAAATGATCTGGAAAACCACCTTTTTGCCTACCTCCCTTGGGCAAAGTTAGTTGCTTTATTAATTGTTTAAAATTAGTGTTTTCCTGCATTTCTTCCATGTGTATTTAAATTATAAACAGCCTATCTCACTATACATGCCCCTTTTGTCAGTCACAAACCAGTCTGTGTTAAAAAAAATACATTTTCAGTTCTATAAGATTATAACTAAACTTCAAATTATTTATTTTGCTTAAAAATAAAAATGAAGTTTTTTTAAGTAACCATAATAATAAATTGTTATTTCAGGAGTTAAATAGTGCTCATTGCCCTTGTTATGTCTAGATTACCAGTTGAGGCTACAGATTACTGCAGTTTACTGTTACAAATGACATTTAGTTCTGTTAATACTTTGTTATGAGGTATTTTGACGTGCCTTTCTTGTGTTACCCATCATCCTTAAGCCTACTGGATTTTTGACTAGTCTTTATAAAACTTTTTTCTTTTGGTAGGAAAAGGTACCATAGTGAATACTAGTCCTTTCTGCAGAGTTGCAGAACTGCCATTTTTCCTCCAAAAACAGATATAATCTGAAATTATAGGAAAGGCTCAGATTTTCTGTAATCTAGGAGGTTCGTGAGTGGAAGACTTTCTGGGAGATATGCCTATTATTTTTGTTGCTTTTTGTTATAATTGCAAGGACATGGAGTGGCATATTAATAATATTAATACATAACCACTGACATTTCATTCCCTGTTCATACTTGGGGAAAGTGAAAGAAAGTGAAGTCACTCAAGTTGTCTCCGACTCTTTGCGACCCCATGGACTACCAGGTTCCTCTGTCCATGGGATTTTCCAGGCAAGAGTACTAGAGTGAGTTGCCATTTCCTTCTCCAGGAGATCTTCCCAACCCAGGGATTGAACCTGGGTCTTCCGCATTGTAGGCAGACGCTTTACTGTCTCAACCACCAGGGAAGTAGATTTAATTAAAGAACAGTTTTCGTTTAAAGATTTAGAAGAGAAGTACCACTGCCATTTTGTATCAATAGCTTTTTTTGAGAAGGTGACAGCCATCTTGAGTGGTTTTGTAAAAGTGATGCTAATGTGTATAACCCTAAATTTTTCTTTTTTCTCCCTCTCCCTTTAACATTTGCTTTTCCTTTCACTGTTGTCAGTCACAACACGCTGCTCTTGAATCTCTCAGCTGGTCTTGACTCGTGAATTTACTTATGCTTTCACTCTTCTTTAATAAATACATTAATTGCAAGCAGTGAATTGAAAACAAGACAAAAAAAAAAAAACGACCATTAGTGATTGGACAGTTTCTTACTTTGTGTTACATTTAACTGTTCTTTTGACAGCCCAGTTTTTAAAGCCAGGTTCGTATGGAAATGCTTTCACTCCACTTGCACTGCTTTTGGAAATAGCATACTGCTTCATCTGTCTGTTTATTTTAGTGCATTCATAATATAACACTGTCAGCATAATGTCTCATCTCCACTTAGCCAAAAGATAGTTTTCTTAATTTAAAAAAAGGGACAACAGTTTTTGTCAGCATGGTTTTAATACCCGAAATCTGTGCCTAGTCATAAAATTAGCCTATTAAAAGATTTAACAATACTTTATTCAGCTACATAATCTTAGAGTCATTCTGCTATCCTTGTCCTTTTTGTAGTTAATTTAGTTGTAGGAGTTATGATATAAAACAAGGATTTTATGTACAGGTAAGTTTATTTCCACAGTAGTACTATAAAGGCCTCTCTCTTGATCTTCATTTTCTGCTAACATTAGTTGTATTAAGACTTAACAAAAGTGTTGTGTTTTTTTTTTACAATAAAGTTATTTATAAATAGTTAGGCATTCAGTACTTGGATTACATATAACCATAGCATTTTCTCATTCTCTCAATTCCTAGCAAAAAATAATCTCTAGTGACCTTTTGTGCACAGTAGTTACTGTGTATATGTATGTTTAAAATAATTGCATGTTTTGTTATAGAAACAGTTTTCATTATCATTTGCCCCATTTTTTCAAGTATCCTGATCTCCATTCCTCTAATCAATAAAATAATAAGCTGCTCAGTCCAGTTTTCTAGTTGGCATCCTGTCATAAACTCATAGAAGGAAGTTGAGCCTTTTTTTTTTTTAAGCAGAGCATTGAAGAGACCTAATCTTCCTCTTGTAACTTACTATCAGAGAATATACTAGTAACATAATTTTTTCTATAATTCTAGAGCATTTTACCATTGAATATGTAGCTGGAAGATAAAAATCAATTTAATCTGAGATGTTTGTTTTTAATTCAGAAATTTATGGTTTAGTTGACTTCATAATTTCATTTCGAGAAATATGAGATTATTTTCAAGTGGTGATACACAATTAATATTATAAATTACATCTTAATGCATACAGAACACTTTCTGTTTACAATTTTTAAATGTTTTCCTTTTGATAAGTAACATCATTTTATCAGGTACAGTTAAGTGATTATTTTAGTGTTCTTTCTGTATTTGTAAAAAGCAAAGAACTGGACAAAGGTCTGCAGAGGTTTCTAAGATCTTGAAACCTTATGCAAAAGCTGACATTTAATTGTTGTTTCTAGTGTCTTTACATGTGGTTTCCATTGAAAGATCTTTTCCACTGTGCTCCTAGGAAGATGAGACATTATGTATATTGGTTTTTTTCCCCTACATGCACTAATGGTTCTTTACTGTTAACTTATTGCTAGGCCTGTTTCATTCTAACATTTTAGCATTTTTGTTAGATTACATGTTGAAATGCATCACTCAGTCTGTGCTTGAGCTCATTTTATTTTTCTGTTTAATCAATTTAATTTCTCGTTTTACTAACCTCACTGTTTTTTCAGTTTAATATTGGCTGCATGCTAGTTAAATATTTATATTTTATATATATGTATTAAAAAACCAATCAAGTCTAGCCTGGATTTTGCTCTGATTGTGTTTTCGTTTCTAGTGGTGGGGCAGTCTTACACTTACAACTTACTTTATATCATGAAAGCCTGACACATAAGCAAAATAACTAAACAGAATGTAGATTTTCTTTAAAAAAAAACAAACTCTTAAAGTGGTGCTGTCTAGGTGGTGGATATGATTGTATAAGTACTTTGATTTTATGCTTTTTAATGTTAGTTTTAAACTTCATAAGTGTATTCTTCCCCCTTTCCCCTTCCCTTTTTTCTCTTTTTAAAAGTGTTGTGTATAAAAATTGCCCAACACACCATCAGAAAGGACCCTTACCCTCTTTGGTCTTCCTGTATAAAATACTAGCCAGTATTTCTTTTTACATTGATGCTCCCTTTATTGGGCACAGTTCCCCTATTAGCACCTTTTTTGCATGCATATATGTAGAATTATCTCTTGTTCATCACCTGTTAAATATCACTAGGAAGGGAAGAATATATTATTGGAATATTTTTGGTTTGTCTCTCTGTTCTGTCTGTCAGGATAATATTGGACATCGCTTACTCCAGAAACATGGGTGGAAGCTGGGCCAGGGATTGGGAAAATCTCTTCAGGGTAAGTTTTTTAAATATACCAAGAAAAAAGAAAGAAAAAATGTTTCTGATGCAGATCTTATGTCTGAATATATTTGTTGTCTTTCTTTAAAAAGTGTTTGGGCTCCCCCCCCCCGCCTTTTATCCCCTAGAGTAGTCTGTTTTTCCTATAACTGTATGTGAAATCACTATTAAGCTAATAATTTGCAAGAGTAAGCTGCTGTGTCATGAATACTTTCAGGTCAAACATACTGTGTATGGCTCAATCTGTTTTTAATTTCTTTTGGTGGAAGTGATGGGTGGGTAAAGTAAATGAAATACATAGTATCAGAATGTACTTTCTTTGTATCACTTAGTGATGTATTGTGGCTGCTGTATTTTAAAGAGGATTAATTTCAACAGCAGAGTTTAATTTTTGCCCTCCTGAATTCTTCCTGAAGCTGGTGATTGCCCTGGTTCTTTGTCTCTAATCAGACTCCATGCAATAGTAGAGAGAATAATTAATCTATATGAAACATAAAATGGAAACAGAGATTTCCTAGGGTTCTCTGAGAGGCCATTTCTCAAGTTCAGGTCAGTCTGTGGGAAATGTATGGTTTAAAGTTTACATTGCATGAATTTTTTTCTTTTTAACTATACTAATCATTTGGATAACAAACAATGTTAACATTTCTGCTTCTGAGTTCTTGCTAGTTGAAAACCAGTCAACCAACTCCATTCACTTATTAGCTCCCTCGTATTCAAGGGCTGCTGTTGTCTGCAAATGTGAACAGTACCTCAGAAACGATGGAAATCATTGTACGTCTACATTTGGTCATGAAGGGTCTTGTTGTATAAAGGGATCTTTGGGGAGAGGTGCACTACTGTTGACTTAATTTTTTGAATTTGGGAAATGAATTTCCATAATACGAGTGGGCAGTCTATAATCAGTTCAAGTGTCTGTATTAACGGGCACAACAGGACGGGGCAAGAAACAGGATGTTTCAGTCTTTACATCCTTTGCTTTTTAAAGTATACATCCGCAGATTCTATTCAGTGCTGACATGAGAAATGCTCAGAAATACATTTCAAATTAATATTTATTACTAAGCATTAACCTGTTCTTTGGGGAGGTAGAAAGATTTGATCACCACTAAACTTGTTTTCCACTGGTGCAAGAACTCATTGTACACAGTATAAAGAATACTCAACAACTGAGAGCAATTTGTATGGCATAGACCATAGATTTTGTAAGAGACCAGGAAAGAGCAGGGGTCATCAGGACTAAAGTAGAAATGACTTCTTGAGAGATTTAGTCCCAGTGGTTTGCACAGTTAAATGTTGGGTTGGGTTGAATGGAGGTAATAGTTCAGAATAAGGTCTGAAGATTGGATTTGATCTTTCCCCCTACTATTTGAAACCTCTCTTCCTATTCAGAGATTCCCAGGAGCATTGTTGATTGTTACTGTTTTTGTTCAGATACACAGGGGAGTAGAATTTGGGGACATCACATGGGGGCTAGCAAATCTGTTTGAATCCCAGAGTTTTGCATTGTAAGCATTGGAGACTTCAGAGTTCAACTAGAACTGGCAGAGAATAAGAGTGAGAGAGACATATAGCAAGCGAGTTTCAGAAAGGTGCTCTGTGATGGTCTAAAGAGGTGGGATGGGGAGGGAGGTGGGAGGCCGGTTTAGGAGGGGAGGGACCTGTGTATACCTGTGACTGATTCATGTTGATGTATGGCAGAAACCATCACAATATTGTAGAGTAATTATCCTCCAATTAAAAATAAAATAAAATTTTAAAAAAGATTAGGTAAATGGGTACTTAACTATTTTTGGGTGATGGAAAATTATTGTTTCATTTTAAGAATACTTTCATTTTGGGTCTCTTTAAACTTTGAACTTCTCCTTGAAAAGAGAAATCAGATTTTATTTTTTTCTTTTTAATTGTGGCAAAGCCCACGTAACATATAATTGCCATTGTAACCATTTTTAAGTGTACATTTTGGTAGTGTTTACTAAATTCACATTGTTTTTCAAAGCCCATCTGTCTTGAATGGCTAGTACGGTCTCTACCCTTCAAAAAGAATGGGACCTTATTCTCCTGCCAGCATTAAGGGGTGACTTTAATTGTCTTGGAAATGGCTCTTTTTATTTTTTTAGTGTCACATTCAACATTGTACAGACATTGAGTTGATTTCTTTTACATAGCTCTTTCTGTAATACCCACATAGTTTGACTAGAATATAGCCACATTTATGACATACTGAGATAATTCATGACAAATTTTTTTCATTGTACCAAACCTTTGCTACAAATAACCACTGAAGAAAGCCCTATTGCTTTGCAGAAAATCATAATGCCTTCTTACTACTGCATAGACTAATCACTGCAAATAATTTCTAGGTTCATGGCTTTGTAAGTTCTTTGTATTTACTTGTTTATTGTCAACTTTTAGTTGCTTTTGTTTGATTTTAGGCTCTAACATTTTTTAACATGCAGTCATCCACTGAATTTAAACCTGATCTTTTCAAGATTTTGTTAACATTTAAAAATTATTGCAAGCCCTGCGAGACTTTATAGAGTGCTAGTCTTTGGGGCTGCAGTGTATATAACTTGTCACTGGATAGGTTGGAGAATAGGGCATGCTAACTCTGAAACAGAATTCTTTGTGGCATGATAGAAAATTCAGCTTTATTAGGTGGGTTTAATTTTGTACTTGAATTTCCCTTATTCACCTTTTGTTCTCCCTTAATATTTATTAGGGCTTCCATAGTGGTGCTAGTGGTAAAAGAACCCGCCTGCCAATGTGAGTTAGACATAAGAGACACCAGTTGGATCCCTTTTGGGAAGATCCCCTAGAGAAGGGAATGGTAACCCATACTGGTATTCTTGCCTGGAGAGTCCCATGGACAGAGGAGCCTGGAGGGCTTCAGTCTATGGGGTTGCAAAGTTGGACATGACTGAAGCAATTTAGCACACATCACAGTGCTTATAAAAATATTTCAAAAGTTAAGATTTGTGTGTGGCAGATAAGTGATTGTTAGTATTAAGAAAAATAAAAGACTTGTAGGAAAGGTTTTTGACAAGATGCCTGAAGGAAACAACAATAAAGAAAGGCCTGCTGATGAGAAATACTATAAACGGTTGTGTGGTTTTTTTCTTAATGGAAGCAGAGAGTGTATTTAATTTGGAATAAACAGCAGATGATAGTTGTATTTTGTGGGTGTTGAATTTGGTTCTTGAAATTGTTTTATGACCTTCTGGCAGCTTTGAAATAGAATGGAATGTAGCTCAAAATCTTTATTTTGTTATGAAATAGGTAAGTAGATGTAGCCCAGAAGTGGTTCCTAAACTTTCTTTGTTATATTGTCTAAGAGCTGTTTCATGATTTGACTGATTTTTTTGTCACAAACAAAAGTTCATCCCCTGAGACAAATGAAGAGGTATGATATATTTCCTTTAGCGGGTTCAGTCAGTAACAGTCAACCAGCATTAGCTCAGCTATGAGATAATAATGTATTATTCTAGTTATACCAGTTGTAAGTCTTGCTTTTTAAACTTACGGTACACTTTTGAAGGTTTTTTGAGGCCAGGGACTGTGTTTTATATTTTTTAGTATGTGATCAATTGGATACTTAATTGACAAATGGCTTTAAGTTCCTTGAGAGTAGGGATTCTCTCTCAGATGTATAGAACAGACTTGTGGACTCTGGGAGAAGGCGAGGGTGGGATGTTTCAAGAGAACAGCATTGGAACATGTATATTATCTAGGGTGAAACAGATAACCAGCCCAGGTTGGGTACATGAGACAAGTGCTCGGGCCTGGTGCACTGGGAAGACCCAGAGGGATCGGGTGGAGAGGGAGGTGGGAGGGGGGACTGGGATGGGGAATACATGTAAATCCA